CCCCAGTTAGCTAACTATTCTAAAGCACTCCCAGAGTTCCTAAGGCAACCTCTCTCGTTCAACACCTTGTAACCTAGGTATTTGACTACCTAGGTGCTAAGACTACAAGGCGCCGTCACTTGATCAGCTACCCGAAACTCTAGAGAGAACTCTAGAATACAGAATCATTGCCACAAACGTATAAGAGAAAACGAAAGGAAAGAAATGAATAGTGAAGTAATTAGTGAGGGTTTGGGGTGAGAGGTAGGGAGGTGGGAGGAGCGAGGAGGGTCATTAGTTGAAAGTGAGAGTTTAGAGAGGGGTGGAGGGAGAGGTGTAGATAGGTAGAAGGAGAAGAGTAGATAGTAGAAGTAGAAAGTAGATAGTAGGAGACGAAATGCTGCCACCATCCATTCATGATCATTACATACAAGACAAGGAATGGAACTTGCCTGTATCACAAAATTCTCAAAGGATGTTATCATGAGTTCATTATTAGTATGTTCCCTCTGTACCATGTATCAACTCCTTAAAATCAGGGAACCAATAATCCCCGAGGCTTTCTCACCTCCTCAACTCAAAGCTCTAGGGCACAAAGTTAAACAATTTAAATAATAAATTCATAATTATATTTCACATGAAGTATCATAATATAAGCAATCCAATTCAAATGTTAAAGAGAGTCATCATCCAAGAATTCGAGAACCCTACAACTTGACTGCCCCTGATCATCACACAACATATGTAAACACGACCAAGTCACCTAAATGTTCACTCACCGGTCACTTGGGGTCAATTTATGTCTACGGCCTTCGACGAGGACACGAACGCTACGTATTGTCAACGGTTCCCTCCCCTCATACCTAAAATTATGTACCCACGTAACCCGAACACTTTAAAGTGGGGGAGGGGGGGGGGGCCACAACAGCACTAAATTTGGATCAAAGACTACACTACCCACACCGAGAGCGGCCAAACACTATCCACCGACTTATTCACTACTCTTAATCACCAGTTACCGCAAGCAACACCACCATCCTCCTTCAAGACTAGGAATTTAGACTTTGAGCAACGTTTTACACCACTTAATGTTAAGTGGTGTAACTCATAGATTTTCATATTTAAAACATAACTGATGGGGGACCTGATATGGCTGTAGTAATGACTGCTCAAAGTTCAATGGCCAAAATTACGCTCCAAACTACGCTATTCCTAATACAATATTACTATGCCTAACTATTTCCAAAGTGCCGGATAGGCCCATCATACCTTGGTAACTCAAATACCACAACTGGAACATCTGCCACCAGCTTCTGCTCGGCAGGATATGACTGGAATCACCGCTCCTTCAAGACTGCTGTGGGAAAATTAAATACAATGTTAAAATACAGTACCTAAACATTTATAAATAGATTTCAGTACCGATTATGGGTCAGTACTAAAAATGTCCCTGAATATATCCACCCCCCAACAGGGGGTATATACGACAGCTAAAAATAATAGATTTTTGCCCCTATGTGCGTTTTGACGGTGTACAGAGTGACAGTGTAACCTAGGGGTCTGTCACCAAAGCGAACCCCAAAGGGTAACGGGCTACCAGCTAAGAGTAACATCACGCCCTAACACTAACTTGTACACCTCTACTCGGCTAATTCTAGGGGCAAAATAACGTTCCGTTGCGCCTGAATGAGCAGGTGGACTCAATAGCCAATCACGTTTCTCATTTGCAGTTGACGTCACATACTCAATAGCCAATCACGTTTCTCATTTTCAGTTGACGTCACATACTCAATAGCCAATCACCTTTCTCATTTTCAGTTGACGTCACATTGTCGCAACCTGTACGGTCATTCGTCGCCTCGACGTAATTGGATACCCGAGTAGTTAATGAGATTTATTTTTGGAAAATGAAATATATACAATAAAATGTATACACAAACTATAAGAAACATACATGTACCAAATGAATGAGATTTTATTCAGTTTTATATAATTTACCTATTTTAAATTATCTGTTAGATTACGCACCTGCCAGAAACGCTGCGCGTACTAGCGGCTTTACAAGAGTGTAATTACTGTATTATGCTATGTATTCCCACAAACACAATGTACCTTCTTGTATATAATTAAATAATTAATTACATACATTTAATGTTTTACATTACACTCACAAATGATGATTTTCCAATACTTATTATTATATATATTATTATACTTTTTAAATAATAACATTAATTATTCAAGCTGTATGTACAGTACAACACAGTACAGCATAGTACAGTATCGTACAGTACAGTTCCGTACACTACGATGCACTACAGTATACTGTACTGTATACATTACAATACAGTACAGTACCGTACGATACACTACAGTCAAGGGCACATTACTGTACACTACAATATACAACAGTACACAACCGTACGGTACACTACACTACAATGTACAGTACCGTGCAGTTCAGGGGCCAGATTCACGAAAGCACTTACGAACGTGTACATCTTTCCTCAATCTTTGACGGCTTTGGTTACATTTATTAAACAGTTTACAAGCATGAAAACTTGCCAATCAACTGTTGTTATTGTTATAAACAGCCTCCTGCTGCTTCGGAGCTCATTAACTGTTTAACACTTGTAAACAAACACGCCAAAGATTGAGAAAACATGTACAGGTTCGTAAGTACTTGCGTAACTGCTTCGTGATTCTGACCCCAGGCCTCACCACTGGAGTGGGGGGGGGGGGGGGGGGTAGTCGTCGCCACGTCTCGTGTTCCCACTAGTTCTTGGGCGCTGCGACGGGGTGCTGGTGCGGCCGCTCACCGGCGTCTTAGCTCGCGGCATGGCGGCGGCTGGGAGTAGGCCGATTCGCCGTGTAGATACTGTGGGGCTTGCTTTCTCAGCTCCTGTGGATTGCCCTCTCGTATTACTCGCGTTACTGGACGTTTTGGATGTGAAGGTCGCCGATCTTTTAGGCCGGGAGAAACTTACGTATATGCGTGTGGCGGTGAAATTTGCAACGTCAGCCAGCTACCTCAACAAAACAGGGAATAGTGAAGCAAAAGATTTTCGAGAATTAGTTGACGATTGCTTTCTTACGCAACACATTAAGGAACCAACGCGGGAAAATAATATTTTAGATTTAGTGTTAACTAACAGGGAAACAAAAATTAATTACTTCGAAATAGGGAGTGAGCTAGGGAACAGTGATCACAAAGTAATCAGATTTAGCATAGAATGGAATACACCTATAGGAAAAAATTATTTAAGTGCCAGATTTCCGAAAAACTGCTTTTAATAGCCTAAGAAACTTTTTGGGTCAAATAAATTGGAAAGTCTTGGGTATAGGGTGTGGGCCGGTCTTAGAGCGACACTTGAACCCAGCGATAGCTGACGTAAAACGGGATTTCGATGTGGATTTAATATATAACTTATTTAACAATATTCTAAACAAAGCACAGGAACGTAGTATACCATACAAATTGAATAGATCGAATACTAATGACCCAAAGTGGATAACAAATACTTGAAAGAACCTTATAGGTAACAAGAGACCTTGGTACAGAAGGATTAAGAATGGAGAAGTCAGTTTAGAACAGGAATTCATACAACTGGTTAGAAATGTTAAAAAAGAGATTAGGAAAGCAACAAGAAACTACGAAGTTCGCATAGCAGAGCAAGCAAAGTCAAATCATAAAGGCTTTTTCCAGTTATATCGAACTAAGACTACGGAAAGGATAGGTCCATTAAAATCTGAGACAGGTCAAATAACGGATAATAAGACGAGTCATATTTTTAACAAATATTTTATATGTATTTACTAAAAAACAACTTAACAATGTGCCTTCAGCCGAACAAGTCTATGTGGATGGGGATGAGGACAGGTTGACTAGTTAAGCAGTTACCAGGGAGGATGTAAGTAAACAATTAGACAAACTCAAACCAAACAAATCCCCAGGGCCGGATGAAGTGTTTGCCAGGGTGCTTAAAGAATGCAAAGAGGAGCTTTCCGAGCCACTGTCTAACATATTTAATAAATCAATAATCAGGCAGAGTGCCAGTCATGGAAGGTAGCTAATGTGGTACCAATTCTTAAAGGAGATTGATCACCCGCGTCAAACTATCGGCCAATCAGCCCAACGTCCATTGCTCCTGAACAAATAGCCTGGATGTGTCACAACGGAAAGGTTGATGTTATTCTGGAGAGATATAACAATTTTGCACCAAAATTGTAGTATTTTGTTGAATTATCTGCACGTGTCTTGCAAATTGTCTATACACTATACCTAGGTCATAAAAGTATTTGTGTGTACGTCTGATACCATACTACTTGTGAAGGAGGAAATGTATGTTTACCTCTCAGAATATTTGGTAATGTTTATTTGTGATGTGTGTCTATGTATATATTAACACGTACTGAATGGGGTGAGAATAGCTTCAGCTACCTCATCCCTTTGTGTGTATTTTACCTCAATAAACTTATTTCAATTTCAACGTCCATTCCTGGAAAGCTACCCGAATCGACAATTGCAAATACAAGTCGTCTTAGAGACAATTCTATAACCAATGTTCCAGCCATGTGTCAATATGTCATTCAAAAGGATCTGCTACCAGAAATTTTTGCCAAATATCCCGTTTGCTAACTGTAGGTAGTAACTAAGTGATTGTAACCGATCCTCCGCTGCCCACTGGATGGGGGACGGTGTGCAGGACAAACATATACATTTTGACACTAGCTCTCCACATATGTCACTTGCTTAATTTAGAACCTGTACTTGAGGTCCATCTCGAACCCATTGTTGATGTGACGACTTATATGGAATTTTCGAACTAGCTCATCAAGATTGTAACTTGCTTAGCTAAATGAATTGTGGGGTTCAGTCCCTAAGCCCATTATGTGCCTCTGTAACCCTTTCCCACTACCGCCCACAAGATGGGTATGGGGTGCATAATAAATGAACTAAACTAACTTCATCTTGAAGAACATAAATGAATAAATGACTCGCAACATGGTTCTGCAAATGGCCGTTCATATATAACACATTTGCTATCCCTTCATTCCAACACAGTCGAGGCATTTGACAGTGGTAAGGATTGCGATGCTGTGCACCACGACTCTAGCAAAGCTTTTGATAAAGTGCCACATGAAAGACTGATCAAACAAAAAATAGAGGCTCATGGTATTGGGGGTGCTATATAAAGTTCGACCAGGGCATGTCAACTCCAAAACAGAGCTAGCATAAATGGCCTTAAGTCAGAGTGGCATAATGTTGTCAGTGGAGCGCCTCAAGGCTCTGTCCTGGGACCTCTATTGTTTACAACATGCATAAATGATTTAGACTCAGGTTCGAGCACCAACATCCGCAAATTTGCAGATGACACACAAATCGGTTGGGAAATTGACTCTGAAGAAGACTCGCTATCACTGCAGGTTGATCCAAATAGTTTCGAAATGATCAAAAGATTGGCAGATGCAGCCTAACGCAGACAAATGCAAAGTTCTGAGGCTAGGTAATGATGATAAGACTTACAAGATACGAGCCAGGTGGTGCTGAGATTGCGAAGTCGGACCGCGAAAGGGATCGGGAGCCATGATTAGTAAGATTTTAAAACAAAAGGACCAATGCATGAATGTTCACAATAAGGCAAACAGGACGCTCGGTTTCATTAATCGAAGTCCAAGTAACAAGACACCTGGTGTAGTTCTTCACAACTTTACATTTATCAGCATTAAACTGCATTTGCCAGTCCTTTGACCATTTCAAAACCCTATCTAGATAAACTACAAGTGATAGCGAGTCCTCCTCAAAAATAATTTCCCTACCAATATTCGTATCATCGGCAAAATTGCAAATGTTGCTACTCAAACCTGATTCTAAATCATTTATATATATTAACAACAGAGGTCCCAGGACAGAGCCCTGAGGTACTCCACTAACAACATTATCCCACTCTGACTTAGCCATGCCCTAATCCAGCTTAATATAGCACCCCCAATACCATGAGACTATCTTTTTATTCACTCGTGTGACACTGTATCAAAAGCTTTGCTAAAGTCAACGTACACAACATCGCAATCCTTACCACTATCAACTGCCTCAACTATGCTAGAATAAAAAGATAACAAATTTGTTAAACATGAACGCCCATTGATAAAACCATGTTGCGACTTAATTATTCGTTTATGTTTTTCAACATGAAGACGATTTTTATTTGCCATTATAAATTTGAGTAACTTTCCCACAATAGACGTTAGGCTAATTGGTCGATAGTTAGACGCAAGTGATCTATCTCCTTTCTTAAACACTGGTATCACATTAGCAACTTTCCAAAACTCTGGCACTCTGCCTGACTCTATTGATTTATTAAATATGGTTGCCAGTGGGTCACAAAGCTCCTCTTTGCATTCTTTAAGCGCACTCGCAAACACTTCATTCGTCCCTGGGGATTTCTTTGGTTTCAGTTTTACTATTTGTTTAAGAACATCCTCCCTGGTAACTGCTAAACTCGTCAACCTGTCCTCGTCCCCACCCACATAGACTTGTTCGCCTGAATGCATATTGTTAACTTCCTCTTTAGTAAATACAGATACAAAATATTTATTATAATTACTACTCATCTCTTCATAACTATCTCTTATTTGACCTGTCTCAGTTTTTAATGCACCTATCCTTTCCCTAGTCTTAGTACGATATAACTGAAAACACCCTTTAGGATTTGTCTTTGCTTCCCCTGCTATGCGAACTTCATAGTTTCTTTTTGCTTTCCTTATCTCTTTTTTTAACATTTCTAACCAGTTGTACGAATTCCTGTTCTATAGGGACCTTCACATTTTTAATGCTTTTGTACCAAGCTCTCTTTTTACCTATAAGGTTCTTCAAATTCTTTGTTATCCACTTTGGGTCATTAGAATTCGATCTATTCAATTTGTATGGTATACTACGTTCCTGTGCTTTGTTTAGAATATTCTTAAATCAGTTCTATTTTGAATCCACATCGAAATCCCCATTTACGTCACCTATCGCTGGGTTCATGTCTCGCTCCAAGACCGACCCACACCCCATACCCAAGAGTTTCCAATCAATCGACACAAAACATTTCTTAGGCTATTAAAATCAGCTTTTCGAAAATCTGCCACTTGAACACATTTCTCCTACAGGTCTATTCCATTCTATGCTAAATCTGATAACTTTGTGATAACTGTTCCCTAGCTCACTCCCTATTTCGATGTCATTAATTTGTGTTTCCCTGTTAGTTAACACTAAATCTAAAATATTATTTTCCCGTGTTG